TCGGAGCGGAGATGATGGTGGCGAAGAGTTCGACGACTGGCCTCCGCAAGCCGACGCCGTCGCCGCCGTCGATGGAGAGGATTTGGGGTTGGGGTTGGGTCTGTCGAAGGGGTGGGGTTGGGGTTGAGTTTGGACGAAGGGGGTGGGGTTGGGGTCTGTCGAAACTAAGATGAAGAGGGGTTTTTGGAATTTTTTTTTATTGGTTTCGAAATTTGAGGTGAAAATGTTGATGAAGTTGAGCTGAGCGAAAATTTACCGTTGAACAGGAGAATGCACCGTTGAAGATGATGTTGATCAGTGTTTTTTGAGAGGAAAATGTACCGTTGAAGATGGTGTTGATCAAAATTTACCGTTGGAGACAAGATGAAAAATCCTCCCGTTAAAAAATTTAGCTGTTAAGATTAAAAAAATATTTGATGAAGTTGAGCTGAGCGAAAATTTACCGTTGAACAGGAGAATGCACCGTTGAAGATGATGTTGATCAGTGTTTTTTGAGAGGAAAATGTACCGTTGAAGATGGTGTTGATCAAAATTTACCGTTGGAGACAAGATGAAAAATCCTCCCGTTAAAAAATTTAGCTGTTAAGATTAAAAAAATATCATGAACAGTAAAAAAAATCTATAAATTCATTTCACTTCAACACAAAAATCATCCCACACAACTCTCTCATAAAAAACTCAATATTTCCCTATCAAATTACAAATCCCATGGATCCCTCACAAAACTATTATTCGCACCTCCTTACCGGTGAAGAATCGACCTTATACCCGTCGTTCTATACAGAAGTCGTAGAGGAAGGTAACCCCATCGAGTTCTCCCAAGCAACACAACAAGTATCATCCCAAGAAACACCGACCACAGGTACGGGGCAACACAAAGATAAGTTTTGGCACAGAGCTAACAACTACTTTATCCAATACTCTGTCGATCCAACGAGTCGCACGCCAAACCAAATGATGCATCGTTGGTCAACGATTCAACTGTCCGTCAACAAGTTCTGCGGGTGCGTTGCTCAGATTGAAGGAAGACAAAGATCTGGTACGGGAATTATTGACCAGGTAAATATTTAACTTATATGTTTTTATGTCAACAGCATAGCATTGAAGAGAGGAATATATATGTTTAATTATGTTTGATTATTCTAAATTTAACTCTTGTGTAGACTGCAGAAGTAAAAGAATTATACCAATCTCTTTATGGTAAACCATTCGTGTTTGATCATTGCTGGGTTGAGTTGCGTCATCATCAAAAGTGGATCCAACAAATGGAAACTTACAATAAGATTCGATCACAGCCGAGAAGAACCACAAACTCTGATTCCTCACCAAACAATTCCATGCCAACGACCCCCATCGGGTTGAACATTGACTCGGATGATGTGGTAGTAAGGCCTGAAGGGAGGAAAGCGGCAAAGCTCAAGAGGAAACAAAATGTGGAAAACTCTGGATCCGCTACGTCCATCATGGGAGAGGCTTTCGCGTGGATGAAGCAAAACGCCAATCAAAAAATAGAGCTAAAACAGAAGAAACAAGATGACGATATCATGAAGATGGATCTCTCAACACTCAATTCAGTTCAACGACAATACTTTGAAATGCGTCAGGCAGAGATATTGGAGAGGTGGATGTCCAAGGATTCTTCCTAATTATCATATATTATCTTGTATTAGATTTATGATTGTACTCGCATCGCATCCTAATTAGTTCTTCCTAATTATCTTGTATTAGATTTATGATTCTACTTGAAGTTGAAAAATTTGGCATTTAATGAAAACAACTACTTCATTGAAAAGAAAATTGGCGTAGTACAACAACTCGAACTTCTTTGCTGAAATTACATTAGAAACTTAATCCTCGTCGATGGATCCCTTGAGCTGCCACAGATGCTCGATCAAATCATTCTTTAGTGATTTGTGTGTTTGCGTGTTCCTGATCCGATGATGATTTTGGATGAACTCAGTTAGAGGCACCGTCTGCACATGAGAAGGTTCAACGACTGGTATCGAATCATTAAAGTCGAAGTTGTTGTCCAATTGACAATCTCGTTCATCTTCAACGATCATGTTATGCATTATGATGCAAGCTGTCATGATGTCTTTCAGCACACACTAGGTTGCGAAACGTCCTGGTCCACGAACAATCGCAAATCGAGCTTGCAACACGCCAAAAGCTCGCTCAACATCTTTTCTTGCGCTCTCTTGTTGTTGAGCAAAGTATTTATGCTTGTTTCCTCGCGGTGCTGGAATAGTCTTCACTAATGTGGACCACTCTGGGTAAATCCCGTCGGCGAGATAGCATCCCATATTGTAGAGTACCGGACTTATTTAGACATCGGCTGCTTCAACTGGCTAGTGAATATTAGGCCCGGCTATCTGACTTTCCGGGTGAGGGATCAGTGCTTCATCGAACCATATCTACCGTGCCGATTCGCTCGCCAGTTTGGCTATGACCAGCTTTACATTGGGAATCCTCGTCAGCAGCTTCGTACTCATAGTGGTTTGATAGACGGTCTCCGCGCTTGGTTGTGGACCGTGACTGGCTGTACTGGTGTTAGATTTAGTCTCCCGAGTGCTGACCGGCAGTTGAACCTTACTTTCTTGAGCTGCAAATGGTTGTTAGCAGCCAACAAGACTATCCCTGTGAAGCCAATCGCAGAGTTAGAGGCTGAGGCAGCTTCCCAGGTTGATTCCCGCAGGATTCGGGAAAACGCCCGGGCACAGAGGATACGGAACAAGACTCGTCGGATTGACGAAGAGGGACAGAGGACATTCCATTCCACAGACGAGGCTTCGGGCGGGGATCCCGAAGATTACGATGACTTTTCCGAGCGAGGTTTGCACTTCATCTTTTTCTTCTATCTTCCAGAAGTGTTGAAACTGACTATGGTTTGATGTTCCAGATACCACAGTTGATCAGGATGAAGATTTCCGTCCTCCTCCTCAGGCGAGACCTTCGATCCCTATTGCTAGGCGGAAGAGATTGGCCCGCAAACCTCGTGTAGCTTCACGAGCATCTGACATGGATCTGGCTGGAGATGACCCTATTAGTGACAGAGGTAACGTCTACTCTTTGAACCATTTTCTTGGTTATTCTGAACATTGACTCATGCTTTTCCATTTCTATATAGGAGTGCGTGGGGAGGATGAGATGAGTCCCGATCCTGTTCCCTTATCTCCCGATGAGTCTGACCCACTACCCCCTGTAGAGAAGTCTACAGGGGTTGCTGACATTAGGGAGGAGATCAGTGTAGGACCAGATTCTGTGAGTCAAGGTACATCTATCACTGACAGCGTATTTCTTTAGATAATACATTAATGAATTTGTGTATCCTCTAACTGTCCTCTACTCCTTGCTCCTTCAGATAATTTGCAGGAGGCGAACCTTGGAAACGAAGAGGCTGATGCACCCGTGAGAGGTAACTCATTTCCATTAGTTGTAGTCTCTTCATTATTCTTTGGCACTTATATTCTTTTATGTCAGATTTCTCCATCGACGATTTTGACGAGGGAAGCCTGTTTGCGGACACTCCTATGATGCACTACATATATAGCTCACCTCAGATTGATGACCAGCTACCTGGAGACATGTTTCCTGAGTCCGCATTTGCTAACAATCCTGAGGATGGTTCCTTTGAAGGTATGTGCCTCCTGCTGAGTTGATTATAGGACTAGTCGACCTTGACTAATGCAGCTATAATGTAACGCCTCTGCGAATTCTGTTTTGAATTTGACAGGAGCTTTTGTTGAGAAAGACCATGTTGAGCCGGCTGTGCGACCAACTCCACCAGTCGATGCAGCTACAGTTGTTACATCTCCATCACCCCCAGTGACTCGAGGGGAAGGAGGTATAATTTAATTAGCTGAGCGATGCCGTTCATTTCCTCATTGAGGCTTTTGACGAACTTCTCTTCTTTGTGTAGGGCTTCCTTCTCAGCTTCATATCCTCGTTAAGGAGTTGTTATCAGGGGATGACCCTGAGAAGATCATCATCAGCGTAGAAGTCCGCTCTTATTTCTCCTCCCTGACTGTTATAATTGGCAAACTCCTCCACGACGGACTTTCTCTTCGCCAATTTAAGCCCTACCTCGATTCCAAGATAAACTTGATTAGGGACATAGGATGTCCGGATCTAGCGACGGCTATGGTTGATGACCTTGATCGCTTAGAGCGTGAGCTTCAGATGTTTCATGAGCTCCGGGATACAGGTGCCTCTTCATTCGTTGCTGCCGAGTTGGATGCTCGCTTACAGACATGGCGCAGTACTCGGATGGTTGCTGAGCTCGAGATTCAGGTGCAGCGGGACCGCATAGATCGAGTTGAGGCTGATTTCGCCACTAGATCTTCTTTCCTCGAGGAGCTTGATTCTCAGATAGATCAGCTCCGACGAGAACTCCGTGAGAAGGAAGACACAAAGATGCAGAATCAGCAAGCAAATGCTGCTTTATCTGATGAGCTGAAGTCCTTGAAGCAGAGACTGGCTGAGACAGAGGAGGATGCTGTGAGGACTTTAGCTGCGAACGAAGAGTCTGTTAGAGCTGAGTTGCAGGAGGAGCTTAGACGCTCTTATGACGAGAAGTTATCTGAATTCAGTCAGCAGATTCTTAGCCATGGGCTTGATGTATGATTTTATTTGCTGAAAACCTTGACATTTGATTCTCTTTAGTGGAATTGGTTTTTATCTTTATCTTTATTATGATTCCTCATCACGTTTGACATGATTGACCATAATACTCATAGGATTTTTGGCAAACCCCCAGCCTTCAACGGGTTTGATTAGCCTTTACCGACTACCGTTTGAGTCGGGCTAGCATGCGGATTATCGGAATCCGTTCCGCATGTAACGTTGTGCTAAGGGAATGAACTCCCTTAGACTTCGTGCTATGATGTCGAATACATAGACTTCGCCATTGTTACGGGAATAGGCTACCCGGCGACACGTGTTAGGTGTTGACTTTAGGGTTTTTTGGCTAACCCCCAGCCTTCAACGGGTTTGATTAGCCTTTACCGACTACCGTTTGAGTCGGGCTAGCATGCGGATTGTCTAAATCCGTTCTGCATGTCACGTTGCGCTAAGAGAGTGAATTCTCTGAGACTTTGTGCTATGATATTGAATACATAGACTTCGCCATTGTTACGGGAATAGGCTACCCGGCGACACGTGTTAGGTGTTGACTTTAGGATTTTTGGCTAACCCCCAGCCTTTAACGGGTTTGAGTTCCGCATGTAACGTTGTGCTTAGAGACTGAATCCTCTAAGACTTGTTGCTACGGCTCCGAATACGTAGACTTCGTCATTGTCATGGGAATAGGCTACCCAGCAACGTGTTTTAGATGCTGACTTATCCCTACTTAGGCTTCGGGATAAAATTCCCCAGAATCAAATTCTGGTGTCTTTTTCTTCGGAGAAAGACTAAACCGGCGACGCGTGTTAGGCATCGGCATATCCTTTCTTAGGATTCAGGATGAAATTCCCCATGCGTGTAAGGCATGGATTTTTGTGTTATTAATAACAACCTGCCACAATGTTGAATATGTGAACGGATGTTCTTTTTAACGGTTAAGAACTAACCGGCGGCGCCTGCCACAATGTTGAATATGTGGACGGGTGTTCTTTTTAACGGTTAAGAACTAACCGGCAGCGCGGGTTAAGCGCAGACTTATCCTTGCTTAGGTTTCAGGATAAAATACCCCAGAATCAGACTCTGGTGTCTTTTTGTGCGGAAAAAGACTAAACCGGCAGCGCGTGTTAGGCGCAGACTTATCCCTGCTTAGGATTCGGGATAAACTTCTTAGGATGAATCCTAAATTGACAAATTTTAGAAAGATCGGTGCGGGAAAGGAAGAATTTTATATTCTATTTCCCGGTCTTCTTTTAGGGTGAAGGCAAACCCGAATAACAAGGAAGGAAGAATTTTATATTCTATTCCTTGATTCTGGAAAGGAAGAATTTTATATTCTATTTCCAGCGCAAAAAAAACTAGAAGTGGGATCTCCACTCCGAGAATCTGGAAAATCTAGATAAACCTGTCTTTTATAGGATCAACTTAGGTTATAACCATGAGAAGGTTTAACCAAAGAGAAGAAGAAGGGAGTTCTTTCATTTATCGAAAGGGGACTCCGAAATTAAAGTGGACCTCTTGTTCATGGAAAGAGTCAAGAGAGCCAGAAAGACATTTTTAGTGGACCCACTGTCAATTACAATTGATCAGTGAGGGATTTTAGTGGTGAAAAAGATTTTGGGTTATCCTCTAGAATATTAAGTGTAATATTCTTCAAGGAACTTCCCGGTAAATGGGTTATCCTGAATGTACTAGGGATAGTATTTTTTCAGGAACTTCCCATTTATTGGCATTAATTGCCTGGCGCCCTCTTGAGTAATCAGGCGATATGCGCCGTTTGAATAGACTGTGTCTATTACAATTATCGGTCGGCGAGCAGCGAGGACCAGATCTCCTTCCTTGAAGCTTCTCTGTCGGACTCTTTTATTGAAAGCCCTAGATATTCTGGCTTGATATAACTCAATTTGTTGTTGAGCCTCCAAGCGCTTTTCATCCAACCTCTCGAGTTCTTTGAGACGTTTTTGATGCTGTTCTTCTGTCGTCATCTCAGTTGCGAGGGCGATCCGAAGTGACGAGATTTGAATCTCCAAAGGCAGCACAGCTTCACATCCGTATACCAACGAGTACGGATTTGAATCTCCAAAGGCAGCACAGCTTCACATCCGTATACCAACGAGTACGGGGTGGCCCCTGTAGGTATACGTATGGTGGTGCGATAAGCCCAAAGTGCTTCACCGAGTTTATCGTCCCAATCTCGTTTATTGGTCTTCACGAGCTTTGACAGGATCTTGATGATCGTCTTGTTGAAAGCTTCAGCTAGTCCGTTTGCGGCGGGATAATAAGCTGTTGACGAAACATCTTCAATCTTGAACTTGCCACAAAACCTGATGAAAGCGTTGCTTATGAATTATGGACCGTTGTCATGAATGATCCTTCTTGGCACGCCGTGTCGGTATATGACATGATGCTTGATGAAATTGATGACGTTGTTCGTCTTCACTTCTCTAAACGGAATTGCTTCAGCCCACTTTGAGAAATA